TCAATTTGCATAACAAATTACCTGAGTCTGGGGTAAATGGCTGGTGGCTTATCTCTGATTAGCAGACTTCCTTATCTTAAAACATTCTAAGCCTTTAGGCAAGGTTCATTTCTTTAACCAATTACAAATCAAAGAGTCTTTAAATCCACCTATAATCTGTAAGCCCTTGCTTTGAGATGTCCCATCTTTTCAGGCCAAACCAATGTATGCCTTCCACGTGTTGATTTATGACTTTATGTGTAATTCCTGTCTCCCTGAAATGTATAAAGCCAAACTGTAACCCAACCACAGAGAGTCCACTTGCTCAAGTCTTCTTGGGTATGGCTCCAGGCCATGGTCCTCAAATTTGGTTCAGAGTAAACCTCTTTAAATTATTTTACAGAGTTTGGCTTCTTTCCCATTTACAGGCTATACTACAGTCAGAGGGAAATAGGACCACTTGGTATATCACACTCATCAAATCCCAAATAATGTTAAAATGAACAGGTTAGGCAATGACTGTGGGGAGATTCTCCTTAATAAGATCAAAGAGCTAAACTGGAAAGGTTTTGTTTGTTTGTTTGTTTGTTTTGTGTAGGGGCAATGAAAAGAAACGCAAACAGATCTATGAAAAGATTTAATTCTTTCTTAGAGAGGAGGAAGAGCAAAGTGGTTAAGACCAACTCTCAAGTTAGAATTCTGGCTCTGCCTTTTTTTAATTATGTGATCAAAGGCAAGTTACTTAATCTTGCTAATAACTATTTAATTTTCTGTAAATGGCTATTGTATCATTTTAAAAATAGTATAAGCTTTATAGTATTGTTATGAGGATCTGATGAGATTTCATATTGTAACAGAGGGAATTATCTGAACAAAACAGCAAAAATATTTTTTCTCTTTAAAACATCCTCTATTCCTTTTTGAGAACTAAAATCTGCATCCCTGACTGAGGCCAGTGGTTGGGAGGGGCAAGGTAAGTCTTTTGTTATTCGTACAACAGGAGATGGCTCAGCCTGGACCTGGTGGAGGGAGATCCTAGGTGGAGGTCATGGCATTGTCTTCAGCCATGGGATGGGTTGGGACAATTAGAATCATCAGCTGTAGTTGAACAGTAATTGCCTGAAGCTGAGAACTCACTCTTTAAAAGCTCGGTATTTCTGCTTATTATTAGGACATTGGCATTTTTCAGACAGGAATCTCCATCCTTCTCATTTGCCGGCAAAGTAATAAACTTCTCTTTCCTTCTCCTCAAACAGCTTGTTCCCATTTTTATGATGTGTCCTTGAGGACAAGTGCCCAGCTCTCAGTAACAATGTATCTAGGAGGTCCTTATATGTGTGTGTATGTATATATGAATTGTATACATATTAAGTAGAAATGCCTGGAATGTATTAGGTACTCAGTGAACACTAGCCATTATGAAACAAGCATAGAACATCTAAGCTGGAAAGGACCTAACAACTTTCACTTACCAAGCTCTTATTATACACTGAGTGCTCATCAACAGATTACCTCAAGTGTTGTTCACAGCAATCTTCAGAGCATGGTAATATTCTCAACTCCATTTTACAGATGAGAAATGGAGGCACAGAGAGGTACTGCAATGTGCCCAAGGTCACATCTCTCATAATGGTGGGGAAATTTAATCCCAGACCCCAGAGTTAATACTGTAAGCCACCACACCCCACTGCCTTATCTGTCATCTCGTTTTATCATGGGTGGGGAGAAGAGGGAGGCATGGTCCCGACACATGACTCGGGAGCCCTTCACAAGCCCTGGAAGGCCAGAGATGTCCTCCAAGGTGGACGTTGCCATCCGCCATGCACAGGGAAGATGAATGTGGTTGGGAGTGTCTGTGAACACCGATGTAGTGCTGCGGGGGGCTCTGCCAGGGGACCTCAGTGTGAGTCACTTCAGTCTTCTCTACAGATGCAGTTTTTCATTTGTAAAACGGACAGTTCTGAGACACAAAAGAAATAATATATGCAAATTCGATTTGTAAACTGTACTAAAGGCTTTAAAAATAATTAAATATTTTATCCAGAAAAAAATATTTTGGGGCTTTTGGACAAAGAACAGCCCAAAATAGCTTGCTGTAAACACGCGGCTTTAAAATATGTCACCCACAGCTAATTTCTCAGGCACAGTGCTCTGATCTGATCTTTGAGTGCTGTTACTCACGAGACTCAGTGTTGCGGGGGAGAAGAGGTAGAGTCCCATAGCAGGGGTGGAGGGAAAGGTCATGGGCTGGAAACCACTTGTTCCCAATTCTTCTTCAGGCAATAAAATCCTTGAAATTGGAAAGAACCTCATGAATTTGATACAAAATCTCAGGGGTAATGTTTTCTTATATTGTCCATGCTTTTTGGGGAGTGGGTAAGGTTTGGAGGAGGTTAGATTTCTCTTCCTCGGGCAGAATTGCTCTTCCAGGAAACAAAGGCCTTTGGCCTCAATAGCTTGGCATCTTTCCCAGGCATTACAGCCCCTTGAACGCATCTGAGTGTGCCAACTATACTGGGTAAGGGCTAAAGGCACCAGTTCTTCAACATATGCCTTAGGATGCCCCAGAAAAGTCATGATTTCCTCAAATAATCACTACTGTTATTATACAGTGTACCTCAAGAGAGAAAACCTCTCCCTAGACAGAGTAGGTATGATTTCAGGGTCCAGAAAAGCACCCCACTAGTCTTCAAAGAGCCCCCATATACTCTGACAAACCTCCAAAAGTATACTTTGAGAACCTGAGGTCTTTTCCTAATCGTGAGACTTTCGTATCTGTTAAAAAAATTCTCTCTATATGTGTGTATATATATAATATTAAAGAGTCACTGTGAGCCATCTATACCTTAGGAGGAATGAGTGAGTTTATGCTGAAGACCAGGACATGACACCATGTCAGTTGGATAGTAAAGGGCCTCTGGAGCTAACCTGGCTCCTCCCTTGCAAGGGCCTTCTACTTTGCGAGTCTTACTAATTTAAGGTATAAGTTAGTTACCAACACATTCCTGGTTTCAAAGATTTCCCCGGCCTGCAGCCCTTTCCCTCTGGCGGTTCCCTTCTCTTAGATCCTGTGTTGGTCATGGGATCACCAGCAGCTGTCCAGGCGAGCACTTGGCCTCTCACATTCAGTTTCTCTGTGTCACCTTCAGCCCCTGGGGTTGGGCAGCCGTGAGGAGGGCCCACACAGGTGGCTGAGGCAGCTGAAGAACAGGGGTGGCCTGGTGCTGGCTCCTAAGTTTCCCTCTGGAGTAAGTGAGCTCCTGGCATGGAAAAGGACGTGGGCTTCCTCTCAGCCGGCAGCTGTTTGCTCCATGGCATTCTGCCCTCTGCCCTGTTCTTACCTCTCCTCCTTGGTGCTGCTGTCCCCCAGGGCTCTCTTGTCAGAGCCACTTACGAAGCAGGCGCAGGAAGTCCAAGGAAGACAGCTCCTTCAGTCATCTTTACAACAAACACCTCCACAGAACCACCCACTGCATGAGCACAGCTGCTTGGATTTGTCCTCGTTACCGTGGCCACCTTCAGCCTCGGGGCCAGGGAGGGAAATACTGAAGAAAGAATGGAAAGGGGGAGACTCATAAGCCTTCTCATCAACATTGGTGCTCGGGGATTCAGTGGCTAATCAATGAAGTGTACACACGGTTGTCTGGGGACTGACTGACACTTAACCCTTCTTTTTGACAGGTGAGAACGGACAGCCAGCATGGAACCCAAACCTTGGAAGAGTCCAGGTACCCAACAGGCATTATCTCAGAAGGAGAAATATTTTTATGGAAAATAACCAACAATTTCCTTCAAGCTAACCAGGATACAGAATTGGTCTTAGTAGGAATAATGGGTGGCATTCTGTGACAATGATTCTTGGTTTGAGAATGTAACAGGAACTGTTGCATTCAGTTAATTATTGTGTAAGAGTTTACCTGTCTAGAAAGCTAGCATTTTCTGATTTTTATGGGCCACAAATTTTATCTTTTGCTTGAAGATGGTGCTAATAGCAAAAACTATGACCCAGCAAGGACTGGGGAATAGTTCCTTAATTTTACATGTAGCTCCCACTTAAAGAAACTGCCTAAATTGTTAACAGCGTTTATTATAAGGTACCTGAAAGTATATTATTCAAATGTTCTTGCTCATATTCACATAGCTCATTGTAGGTGAGTGGTTAGAAGAGCAGAATTTAGGATAATGTCACTTATCAGTTAAATTATCCAATTCAACTAAAAAATATTTACATAGCACCCATTACTAGTAAGTCTCTGTGCTTTATATTGCAGGGATATGCAGATTAATTAATAAGAGTCATTGTCTGCAAGGAGTCTATAATCTTGTTGGGAAGTTAAGCAAGTAGCTGTATTGGGAAGTTAGCATCAGCACATATAATTAGGCTATGACAGGAATCATGAAATAAATACAAAATGCTATGGAGTTTGAAGAAGAAAAAGCATGTAAGTATTAATAATTATTGGAATCCAGAGAAGTTTTATGGAGAAGGCATTTGAGCTAGATCCTATAAGATGAGTAGGGATTTAAAAGAGATTGTAACCAGGTGTGATGGCTCACACCTATAATCCCAGCACTTTGAGAGGTCGAGAAAATTCCCTTCTGTTCCTAGTTTGTCAAGAGTTTTTATCAGGAAGAATAATCCTGGCCTCAGAATGAGTTGGAATTGAGGTTTTTTTATGATTCCACTTTATCTCTGTTGTTGGCTTATTAGTTATAACTTTCTGTTTTGTTATTTTAGTGATTGCTTTAAGATTTAAACACATCTTTAACATAGTCTAACCTCAAGTGGTATTATACCAAGTCACATATAATACAAGAGCTTTATAAAAACGTATTTCCATTTTTTCCTCCTGGCCTTTATGGTACCATCAGAATGCGTTTTACTTGTACATATGTTATGGTCTGCATAATAAATGTTATTATTTTTGTTTAAACAATCAATTGACTTTTTAATGTTTTAAATAATAAGAAAAAAATTTCATATGTCACCTTGTAGTCACCATTTCAGTGTTCTTCATTCCTTTGCATAAATTCAGATTTGCATCTGATGTCATTTCGCTTGTGTTTGAAAGATTTCCTTTAACATTTCTTACAACGTAAGCCTCCTAGTGATAAATTCTTTCAGTTTTTATGTGTCTAAAAAGTCTTGAAATTGCCTTCATTTTTAAAATACATTTTGCTTAATATAAAATTTTGAATGATGGTATTTTTTTCACTACTTTAAATATATTGCTCTGCTTTTTCTTGTTTGCATTGTTTCTGATGAGAAATCAGTATATTTGTTCCTTGTCCTTGTTCTGTACACATCATGTCTTTCTTTTCCTCTGGCTGCTTTTAAGATTTTTTTCTTTACCATTGGTTTTAGCAATTTGATTATGATGAGCCTTGGTGTACTTTCCTTTGTTTATCCTGTCATGGGGTTCACTGAGCTGCTTAGATCTCTGGGTTTATAGTTTAAGTTTGTAAAATTTTTAGCATTATTTCTTTGGATATTTTTTCTGTCTCCCTCCCTCACTCCAAGGATTCCTCTTACTTGTGTATCAGGCCACTTGAAATTGTCCAAGTGTACTGGTGCTCTTTTTATGTTTTTGAATTCTTTTTTCACTCTTGTTTATTTTGATAGTCCCTACTGCTGTGCCTTCAAGATCACTAATCTTTTCTCTGGCAATATTTAATCTGCCTTTACTCTCATTCCCATGAGTGCTTTTTTTCCCCCTGAGACACTGTAGTTTTCATCTCTAAAATTTCACTGAGTCTTTTTTATATCTTCTATGTCTCTACCTTACTTCGTGAAAATACAGTGATAATAACTGTTTTAATAACTTTTAAAATGATCTTCTTTGCGAATGCTAACATCTGGGTCAGTTCTAGGCCTGTTTTAATTGGTTCATTAGTCTCTTCATTACAGGTCATATTTTTCTGTCTCTCTGCATGCCTGGTAATCTTTGGTTGCCAGACACTGCAAATTTTACCTTGACAGGTCCTGGATATTTTTGTATTCCTATAAATCTTGAGCTTTGTCCTGGAATGTAATTAAGTTTCTTGGAAACAACCTTGTTTTTGTGTTTGTTTGTTTGTTTAAGGCAAGCATGAAACCAAATTTACTGAGGAAGGACAAGTTTATAGAGCGAGAGTGAGAAACATTGGCCACAGAGAATAAACGGACTCCTTGATGTAATGAGAGGGCCAACCTTGTTCTTTTAAGTCTTGCTTTTGTGATTTGTTAGGTGGATCTGGAGCAGTCCTCAGTCAAGGGCTAATTATCCCTCACAACTGAGGCAAGACCTTCCTGAGTACTCTGTGCAATGCTCTGTAAATTATGAGGTTTTCCAGTCTTGTGCGATGAAACAGGCACTATTTATGGCCCTCTAATCTTTTATAATAGTTCTTTCTCTGGCTTCAGGTAGTTTCAGCACACACGTGTGTTGGGGGTTGGGTTTTTGGTTTTGGTTTTTTTGGGCTTGGTTTTGTTTTCACATTCAGGCTGTAGGTTTAGTTTGTCCTTAATTTTGGAAAAGGCAGCCTTTACTTAAAAATGTAAAGCTTCTTTATTAAGTGAAAACAGAGTCAGGATTTGGTATTAAATAACACAGCTGTTGGAACTATTAGAATAGTACGTAGTAATTCTGGTGAGGCAGCTGTCCTTCCCTTCCCTTCCTCCCCAACTTCTGCAGCAACCCCGCCTGCCCCCCGTTTGCAGAATAGCCTTTTGCCACTTCATTTTCAATAGCAGTTGGTTTTGCTGTTTGTTAAGCCAAAGGGCAATGCAGAATTATCATGCTTCTACAATGAAAATGGAGACAAACCTTCGCTCACACGCACAGAGCCAACGCCAGGCTTCAGAAACAGCCAGCCAGCGTGGGCTGAATTCAGGTGTCCTAAATGTTGTCTGAATGCAGGCCTTGCGCTGTGGGTGAATAAGAATCATATGCTTGGTCCTTTGTTTTCTTGGGTTATTATGAGTGTTCTTTCCAATAACTGAATAATTCGAAGACCTTTTCAGAGATAAACAGTGTTTTCCAATTAAAGCAATTCTTTTCAGAAATTAATGGAGAACAAACTGGGTCCCGTTCACTCTCTTTTATTAGGCAAACAATTTACATTTTATTATGAAAATGAAGTCTGCAAACAAGATTACTTTATTAAATCACCACCTCCTCAGCTTTTCTTCTCTGCGGTAAGTATTCACTATGACTTAATAAGCCTCCCACCAGCCTCATGAGCATTTTTAAAACATCTTTCTTTTCCTCTGAGACTTAACTGAGATGTAGAACCTTTTTATTTTTCAGACCTCTTGGAAAAAGCGGTTTTTCATCCTGTCAAAGAATGGGAAAGAGGCCTTTAGTCTTTCCTACTACAAAGACCATCATCGCAGAGGTTCCATTGAAATTGATCGGTGTGTATCCAAGCAGGAAAATTTTTATAACAACAAATACTATAAAGTCAAATACTAACAAGTTGCATGCAGATTGAAACTTAAATCATTGACCAAAGCAACCAAGGGTTTCGAACTTATTATTTGTGACTGAATAGGAGCTAAAATAGTAAACACTTTGAGCAAAAGATAAATATTTTACAGTATATGTTATAGTTGATAAGTCTTTAAGAAGCATTCAGTGAAGGTCTTTGATTCATGTAATTGTGGACAAGATGAAGCAGATGAAATTATCATTTTATAAAGGCAAAATGCATTTTAAAAATATTTAGATCAGCTTTTTTGGTCTCTCTTTAAAAAATTATGTACAAAAAATTGAAAAAGATAATAATTTGTGGCACCAGGAATCCAAACAGAATAGGAACTTTTGAATTAAATTTCAGGATAAACAAAGTATTTCCAATTAATGATAGACCAGATCCAAAATACAAACTTGTTTTCTAAAATTATTGGATAATCTTCAAGACATGTATCAAGCAGAGCTGAAGTTTTATTCAATTTGAATCCCAGTACAAAATATTAGTCCGTTTTTCTTTCTATTTCTGTATTTTCATTGGTTTAATACTCTGTGTCTATATCCAACAGAAATTCCAGTGTAGAAGTCGGCATAAGAAGCCAGGAGAAGTTGCAATCTGTACAGAAGATGTTTAAATGCCACCCTGATGAGGTGATGTCCATCAGAACCACTAACAGAGAATACTTCCTCATTGGCCATGACAGGTGAGAGTAGTAAGATAGCACAGAGCATCTACTGTGTGCAACCCAAAAGCAACCCAGAGACCAAAACATTCTAAATCAATAAACAACAAACATGCTCCAAACAGAGACCCATGCCACAACCTTGAACGCCATCTGGTCAGTCTTCATTACTTGTTAAAATACCTTGAAAAGTTACTGTACTAGTTTCCTAGGGCTGCCATAACAAAGTACCACAAGCTAACTGGGTGGCTTAGAACAACAGAAATTTATTGTCTCACTATACTGGAGTCTGGGAGTCTGAAATCAGGGTGTTGGTAGGGCTACACTCCCTCTGAAGGTACTAGGAAAGGATCTGTTCCAGGCAGATCTGCTCTCTCTTAACTATTAGTAGTTCCCTTGGCTCATGGCCACATAACTCTAGGCTTCACAAGGTGTTCTCGGTGTGTGTATGTCTCCATGTTCAAATCTCCCCTTTTTATAAGGACACCTGTCATATTGGATTAAGAGCCCGTCTTACTCCAGTATGACCTCATCTTGACTAATCACATCTGCAACAAGCCTATTTCCAAATGAGGTCATGTTCTGAGGTATTAGGGGTTGTAATTGGAACATATGAATTGGGGGGGGAGCAAAATTCAGTGCATAACAGTCACCATCACCCCAGACACATTCCATGTAAAAGAACCCAATACACCAATATCTATACAAGCTACATATATTAGGGAGAGACTATGCTCACCCCTAATGGAGTCTTCAGTTTTCAAGAGAGGCTCCTGGCACTAGCAGAGGTGCCTAGTGGATTTTTCATCAATAAGTATCTGCTTGAGTGAAAGGCAAAGTTGGTTTTGGCGGGTGGGGGAATGGCAGCAAATGCTAAAGCCAGAGTATGAAGAACCGTGGTCTGTTTCAGATTGACCTAAAGCTTTCTTTTATATTGTCATGCGAGTCAACAGAAAAGAAGATGTGATTTATACAAAATCATTCAAGCACATTCTTCATAAACACATGCATTCCTTAAGGGGAGACACACCTGGACAGTTACACAAAAATGGCGCTGCCATGTTAGGGGGCTCGCTTAAGAACACAAAAGAAATCAGCGTCAAAGCCAAAAGCCCCAAACCCTGTGATTACTACTGTTATTTCCTACTTTACTTCTCACTTCTCTGAGCTTTCCCCACAAAGGTGGCATGAGAGATAATTTTAGTGTGCAAATGTGGAGGTGGGCCATTTAAACTACTTAAGAAAAATCCTATTTCCCTGATACCTGCTCTCACTGCCTGCCCTAACCTTAATAAAAGAATCCTTCTCTGGTTCAAAAGGAGTGCAGGTGCTATTGTTGCCACACGCTGGCTGAAAGTTTATTCCTATCAACAGGGAGAAGATTAAAGACTGGGTCTCCTTCATGTCATCATTTTGCCGGGGCATAAAAGCAGCACATCAGAATACAGAGGTGACTCCATATCACTAATAAAATAACAGGGCACCTGAGCACAACCCTCTTTCAACAGGAAACAATGGTAGCTTTTTTTTTTCTCCTTAGCAACTGGCATTAATACAAGGAACAAATAAGTGAGAACATGTACGTACTTGTTATTTTTGTATGATTAACAATAGGAAAAAAATTATTTTTGCATTTTGCAAGAGAGCTAAAATGCAGACACTTCAGATTTTCTTTCTTGTGATGGGGGGAGGAAAAGTTAACTGTAGCATTTTTAAATAGTAGCTAGAACTACAGTACTTTCAATCATTGTTATTCAAGGTTCATAACAAGCTTCCTTTCAAATGACTAAGTCTAGGGTGGTTTCTATAAAAATGTTTTTTGTCTTGCTTGCATTTTTAATATAATGTCTCTTTCGTGTAAGTGCTAATAGCTTTAAGTTTTAAATTTATTTTACAAGGGCCTCTGCTCATTTTTTAAGTCCTTTCTTAGGGCAGACATTTATAGATGGAATTTTGGTCTCTAGGTTTTTGGGGATGTTTTTGTTTTTGTTTTTTGACCTGTTTTCTAGGCCGTTCTATGCTTACAGCAAAAGCAAAAGCCAGGGAGGAGAAAGCAAAGCATGTCTGCAAGTGGACTCAAATGATTAAGCAAAGGGAACAGGGCATAAGGGAGATACAGTCGAGAAGATAGGTTGAGGAAAACTTGGGTCATCTCTGAAGGCCAGGCTGAGCATCCTCGAGGGTCTGGGAACAGGAGGAGAGACAAGGTCAGCTCTAGTTTTAGTGAGATAACACCGGCCATCTGGCGGCACGAGTATTAGACAGCCATGGGGAGGGACTGGAGGCAGGGAGCCTGGTGGAGAGGCTGCTGCTTCATTCCAAATGAAAGATTAGCTGTGCCCTGATTACACCATTCTTTTCTTATAAGCAGGAGAAACTCTCATTGGGTGATAAAAGGCCCTCTTCAGACCCTCTCCTTGGTCCTTCCAGCCCATCAGAGGACTCCAGCTTGCCAAGAAACAGTCTCCCAGACATGGTAATTGTACTTACCTCTTTCCCTCTCAGAATAGCACACTTTGGAGTCAGCTAATGCTTCAAAATCTCACCAAGTAGCAGTTGAATTGGACCATGCCCACCTTCCTCAAAGCCTAATGCACCATAAGAACGATTCTTAGCCCTGACAGTTACTCTATGTGTAGTTTGGTTTCCATACCATAGATGAGCCTCACTGCTTGGCCTGGATACCTCTCAATGTATTCATTCATTTCAGATGCTCTTGACATGCGTCTGGGGATGCGAGGTTAAGATCCCTTGGCTAAACCAAAGCCTGGCTGGCCGCTTTTTCCTTCTTTCTACACATAGCACACAAATCCCTCTGTAAAGAGATTCCCCAAACACAACTTGATTTCCTGCCATAATGTCTGTACTGCACAGGCAAAAGCAGAGTTTCTTATCAATTTCCTTCATTTACCCTGATCAGTATTCTTCCTCATTATAGCTGTATAGCACTTCATCTTCATTTCCAATGAAATCCACTTGAGGAAGTAAAATATAAAATATCTGCCTCTTGAAAATGACTTGTAATTTTACCCTCAGCTTGGATGTGCAATGTTTCTGACTTTGGATTTTAGTAATAAACTGGCTGAGTGGTTTTGTTCTCCTGCATGGATACTATTAATATTTCTTCCCTTAGAGACTTAGCCACTGGCTTCCCCCTGTCTGTGGGTACCAAGCCGATCTAATGAGGCATAGCCTCTTATTTTATCTAGTTGGTAGCTCTCCAACTATTTTAAAAGCTTTTTGTAACATATCAAATTCACCAGGCCAAACACCTCATCCTGGTTATTTATTTAATGAGTAGAAACAGTGGCATAAAACAGAGTTAGGAAGGCCAATCCTTTTCAGTAAGTGCCTCTTGCTTTTCACTCACAATACCCCCTTCCCCCAAGACATAACATTATTGGTCATTTTGCTTTTTCACACTATGTATTCAGATCCAGTGATGTTTCAACCAGCTCCAGTGAAGAGTGCCATTTGCCTTATTGGGAGTTGTTATTGTTTAAATTAAGTAGAGAACCTTTCTTCACCCTCCACTCAGATGATCTGGCTTCATGGGCCTGGAGCTATAAAAATGGATACAACTTAAATACACCTGGTTGTTTTTTTTTAATCACATTCTTTCAAGGATTTCCTAGAGAATATTGAGTCTTTTCCAAACCCCCTGCTCGAAGGCATTGTTCTTGGAAGAATTAAATTGTACTTGTAACAATTTTCCTACCATACAAAGCAGTACTTTGTGGTAGAGCATTGTGTGTCTACTGGGAAGGGAAGGCAATAATTAGTTGAACCTAGATCACCTTGAAACCTGTAATTCACCCTATCACATGATCAACATGACCAAATTACATTGCTATGGAAACAATAGAATTATGAGAGCAGAACACAAAAGAGAAATATTGAGCAGGAAGAGGAAAGGTACAGTGCCTAAACTCTGAGTTAATTACCTCCTCTGATGGCATTGGATGATAATCAGAAAACAATGGGGTAAGTACTCCATGGCAGAGCTTAGGGACTTAGAATGCCACCCCTGGGAGAAAACCACTTGTTCTAAGTTACAGCTCCAGATGGTAGAGGGAAAAAAAGCCTGAATGATGTGCTTATATTTTTATATCATCAGTGGTGACCCAGACTCCAGAGGCAAGTTCAAGTTGTGGGCTTCTGGACGTAACCTTGGAAGATCTTCTGGTCTTTTCAACCCAACTAATCTATTATGGCTTCTCCAGAAAGCATATGATTTAATTCCATCTCTTGCAAAGAAAAAAAAAGAATTAATTCCTTTTTTCTCTCTTTTATTCAGCATTTTGTGAAAAAAAGTTCTCCAGGATTCAGACCAGCTCATCTACCACATGATTTCTTGCTGAAGACCACTGAAGATACAGAAAAAGAGAGTCATTACCTTAGTCCTCGAAGTGTTGTTTTAGAGGTAACCCCTTCTGTCTGCTCATCATGCATTTCTACAAATATTTCCTGCACCCCTGCCATGCACTATTCACGAGGCACTAGGTGGGGTCTGTGGGAACACAGGTAAATCAGGTGATGTGCTCATGGTGCTGACACTTGAGTAGGAGCTGACTATAATACAAGATGGAAAGAGCTCCACACTGAGGACAGATGTTTGTTAAATGTCCAGGGGTGCACGAGGGGGAGGAGCTGACTTCCAGACAAAAGGTCAGGGATGGTTGCTCAGAGGAGATGCATTTGACCTTACTTGATTGGTAAAATGTGGATGTGGGGGATTGACTTGGGGAGTCTTTCTGTATTCTTGGCAGAAAGAATAAAATGAGAAAAGGTCCCTGGGTGATAAGTTGGGTGGTGTGTATCGGTCTATTGATCCGTTGGAAGCCCTTCCTGACCGCCTTCTGAGCGCTGGCACTGGACTGTATTAGGCGCGGTACCTACAATGATGAATCTGACGTCGCGCCTGCCCTCAGAGATCACAGTCCTATCAGTTACTGCGTGACAGTGTGACATAAGAGGCATGGTTAAAGGGCTCAGGAAGCACTAGAAAAGGATAGGTTTTCTCTCTCTACCAGAGGCAGGGAAGGCTTCAGACGTGAAATGGCAATTGATATGTGTATGGTGACTAGTTCAGTTAGGCTGCAACCTAGAGTGCGTGAATGGAACAGTGGGAAATAAAACAAAAAAGAGTCAGAACATGACGGGTCTTGAATGCCAAGCTGACTTCATTCTGTAGGTAGCATAGGGGCAGTGATGGCTTCAGAGTTGGGAGGTGGCAAAACCTGAATTAACTTTCCCTAATATTAACTTAGCAGCTACATCTGTGGCAGACTACAGAGAGAAGAGAATGGCTGGCCAGGTGCAGTAGCTCACACCTGCAATCCTAGCGCTCTGGGAGGCTGAGGCGGGAGGATTGCTTGAGGTCAGGAGTTTGAGAAGCGAATGGAAGGAAGTGAGAGATAGGAAAACAAAAGGGGGAGGGTGGAGGGATTGCATCATTTCCCAGATTGGGGGTTTTCTACAAGGTGGTGACATGTGTTTCTACAGAGTAAGCATTCTCGGCCAAATAAGTTCTGAAAACGCCAAGTTAAAGGAGGTTAAACAAGCTTCTTAGCAGCAGAATTCTCAGAGCCTTTAGTATGCAGTGGTGCATTATAAATAGCCAAGCTGGATACAATGCACAGCATTTCCCAAGCGCATTTGAGCGCAGAGCCCTTCTTTCACCAAAAATACATTCATGCTCATGTTTCCTGGGACGCAGTCTTTTGCGATAGTCCCAACAACCAGTCAGGTGTGTGTCAAGCACCAGTTAAGCCTGGCATTTTTAGGCACTTTGTGGGATGCAGTCTATTAAAGCAGCTAAGACTAAGCTAAAAGACCCCCCCCCAAAAAAAAAACAGTACAAAACTAGGCAATAGAAATCCAGAAAAAGGAGAAGTTGGCAGTAGCTGAGGCGAGAAGAGGAGGCTGCGGGACGTCAGCCAGGCCCGAACATGATTTCAACAGGCAGGAGGGAAGAGGGGCATTCCAGGTAAAGGAAGCAGGTGCACGTGGGGACGGGAAGAGCACTGTTTGTAGGGGACAGTTGGGAGACTGGCTTGACTGGAGCCAAGTGTTCCAATTATGGGTCAACAATGAACTTGCTAGGAGGCCTCAGGGGTTTTGAACAGCCACTGTTGCAAGTGACTGTCTTGGTTCTAAAGGAGTTATTGAGAGCCTCCCAAGGGCCATGCCTTCTAGACCCTTCCCCCACCTCCCCCACCAAGCAACCTGGGCTGCCTGAGAGCACAGTAGCCTGTGACCAGCTCCTCATTGCATCTGCGTCGTTGACCCAGCCAAGCGCCACGATTCTGTGGTAGAGCTGATTGGGTAAAAGCTCTCATGTCATTAAGTGTCTACTGATGAAACAGAAGGTAAATAGCAATTCAGTCCAATAGAAAGAACATTTGCATCAGGAACATGGGGGATTCGGGAGAAGAAAATTGACTTTGAGTCCGCCAGAGGCTTTGCTGGTTCTGATAAGTTTGGTTCATCTGGTGGTGGATGTGTTACTATTTCAGGGCCCAGAGCCATAATATCAGGGAAAGAAGATACCTGATTGGTAGACTTGTATCTTTACATCTATTCCTCTTGTCTACAGTTGGATAATATTATTGCTTCCAACAATCCTGATGAATCCATTGAACCTGGCAGTGCAGACCAGGACTCCAAAAGAATTGAGGGTCTTTACGAGTCAATGAAATCCTGGTAAGTAAAACTGCCATTTAAAAAACTGATTTTAGGGCCGGGCGCGGTGGCTCACGCCTGTAATCCTAGCTCTCTGGGAGGCCGAGGCGGGCGGATTGTTTGAGCTCAGGAGTTCGAAACCAGCCTGAGCAAGAGCGAGACCCCGTCTCTACTAAAAATAGAAAGAAATTAATTGGACAACTAAAAATATATAGAAAAAATTAGCCGGGCACTGTGGCGCATGCCTGTAGTCCCAGCTACTCGGGAGGCTGAGGCAGGAGGATTGCTTGAGCCCAGGAGTTTGAGGTTGCTGTGAGCTAGGATGATGCCACGGCACTCTAGCCCGGGCAACACAGTGAGACTCTGTCTCAAAAAAAAATAAATAAAAAATAAAAAACTGATTTTAGCTAATCTGCTGTTACAGCATAATTATTGCCATTTCATTTTAATAGTTGATAAATTGATGCAAAACATCACCACAGACAAGGTTCAACATATTATTCAGTAATCTCAAAACAAGAAAGTGTGGTGGTGGTTTCTCCACCCACACAAAACCATCGGTGACGTCCTCAGGACATTTTCTGTCTCCTGGGGAAGTTATTTTCTATTTTGCATTTATGTCTTTCACACTCTCACTTCTGTCCTCCCAACCCTGTAAAGGGTTATTTTGATTGCATATCCATTTTCAGAAGGAAATTTTGTTGGATTTGATTCTAACTGTGGCTGGGATTCTGATGGTGGTTGGACAGACTTCAACACCTTGCTAGTTTTCACATGGCTGCTAACTGCTTAAATCTGACACACGCAGCAGAAAATTGTAAATAGACATGCTAAAAAAGGGTTTGTTTTAACTTCTTACACTCTAGTTTTTCCAAAGAGACATCCCATGAATCTGCAGAGAGCAGCAAAGAGGAACCCCAGACCCTTCCAGACACCCAGGATATGGAGCTTCGCCTGCAAGAACGAGGCTCACGAAGTGATTCGAGTCTTTCACCTGCCAATACAGAAGCACAGACCGCAAGTGACCAAAGGAGATCGGCCTCGCTAACTGTTGTGCAATTGTCTATATTAATCAAGTAAAGCTCTAATTTCTAAAACTTTATGGGCCCTAAGAGCAAGGCAGGCTGCTGCTGCTTCTTTTTCTTCTTCTTTTTTTTTGGGGTAGAATTTAAATTTTAAAGCAGTTCCTAAAAATCTCCAAGTCAGCCAAGAATCTGACCAACTTCTCTCTGTCATTCTTGTGGCCAAGGAGAGTGAATAACTCTCTTTTGCTGGGACAAAGCGGTCCCTGCACTGGGGGTAGCAAGTTCAACTATTTTTAAACATTCTCCTTTGGCAGTCTTTCATGTCCTGGAACTTTGCATACACACTGACCTAAGTAGCATGTCACCCAGCTTTTTACATTAGTGTGATTATGGGCACAAAAGTCGCATGAGGCTTAATTATCGACTAGGAGAGGGGTATTTAGGTTTTAAGTGATACCAAGAACATTTGATATGATTGTTGGAATTTTAACTCTTCTCTGTGTCTTCTTCTATGGAATCATTTCCGGCAAAGAAATACACAAACTGACCTGATGTGAACAGTTATGTAACCAATTTAGTCCATTTCTGCCTCCCTTCCTGTTGCCTGCCACCTACTACCACATCCCAAGACAGGTAGAGAAGGACATTAATGAGTACTTTTCAGACATTTAAATTTATATTTTTCTGCAAATGTTTTGGACAAGCTTTACCTAAAGAATGTTTAATATCATCTCAGAAAAGGAGGCCAAAAGTCTACTCAGAAAGTATAGTTCAGAGCTGGGGCCAGTCGCCTGATATGACTGTTACAAATGTCTTGTCTCATAGCAACATCCCTGATGAAAGCCAAGTGAAGAAGCTGAATGTGTTCCTTTCTCCTCCTGATATCATAAACTATCTCGCTCTCATAGAAGCTGCAGGACGGATATGGTAGGTCAGCGATTTGACTGTTATTGATTATACATGGAGTTGGGAGAGATGAAGAGAATAAGTATATCTTGAAACACTGTATTTGGCAAAGCTGACCAGGGGGCTTGGATTATTATATTGCCATTGTTACAAGAAGGTCTTTGAAGCAGAAATGAGGTTTTGTTGTCTAGGAGAGTCAGCTGGAAGGTGGGGTTGGGGGGAAGTGTATAAGAGGACCCAAAAGTCCAGGAAGCAGCAAATTTCTGACTTCTCAAAGATGAAGAAGAATGAGCAGGCATACATATGGTCCAAGGACATCGTTCCCAATCATTGCACAGTGAATATTTGAGGAATGAATGAAATTACTGAAGTTAACAAAATTCAAAGGTCTAAAAGAAAAAAGGCATACGTATCTAAGACTTCCAGAGACAAGGTAAAAAACTGCCTGTTGGGGAATCAGACACAAAAGACAGTGTGGCAGAGAATTTTCTTAATCACTGTTTATTTCATTCTACATTCTTTTAAAGACTTTGTAATTTATTTTGAAGGAAGATTACATTTTTATAAGAGAAGAAAGCCCTTCAATTACAGTAAATGCTACACATTATTTATCTTATAAGTTCTAAGTGGGGAGGAACCACAACCTTCTATTTTTCCAAATTTGCCACATGCTAAAGCTCAATAAATATTTGACAAAAACTGTGGACTTCTCTATGACTGGGCTTGTTCATTAGTCAATTCATTTATTTGTTCATTAGATATTCATTGTATAATCATTATGTATCCATGTCCAACAAACACTTATTGAGCACCCTGTGTTTATTTGGAGCTATGGGGTTATAAAAATTGAAAAACAAACAAAAAGGTGGTACCATACTGCCGGGGTCACATAGCCTTGTGAAAAAGAGAGCCACACAAACAAGTAAATATAAAATGCATTTTATTTAAAAATTTAATAAATAAGGTACTCACACGATGCAATAGAAGTCCAGGAGACGGGGACATTAATTACAGCAAAGGAATGGAATGTAGGACTTTGTAGGAGTTTGTAAGGGCGGTATGATTTGAGCTGGGCTTTGGAGGAGGGGTTAGGCTCCCATAGCAGTGACAGAGGAAAGAATATTTCAAACAGGGAAAGGAGGTCGTCTTCCTCAGAGGCGGTGCAACAAGCTCAGAGCGAGGCCCCATGTGTGCCCTGCCCTCCCAGTGAGCTCCGTCTCACGTGCTGTACTCCCACTGCAGTGTGGCTCAGTGGGAAGGCCCCCAGCGCCTGGGATGCCTGTTTTGCCATGGAGATCATCTTTTGGCGGTGAATGACCTGAAGCCCCAGAGCGTGGAGGAGGTTTCCTTGTTTCTCAGCCGATCCATCCAGAAGGAGGTGAGTGCTATTCACCAGCCCTGGCCAGGGCAAGTCAGTGCCAGAAGGAACAAGAATACATCTTATCTCTTCTGTATCACACAATAGCTCTGTTGGATGGACAAACTTTACTATCCCTATTATCTAAATGAGTAGACCAGTAAGGATGAGTGAGTTATCTAAGATACATAAATAGTTAGTGTCAGAGCACGTATACATTCATTCATTCACTATTTATTGAACATTTCGTGAATGCTGGATACTGTTCTAGGTTTGAGAGCTATAAAAATGGCTTCAGCTTGAGCTTAAGGAGCTCACAGATTAGCGGATAAAACAGGCACGTTATGTGCTACTTACAATACAGTGCGTGCCCTGAGATATGAACAGAGGCCATAGGAGCACAGAGATAGACGGGAGTAAACCTATTTGAAGGAGGCCCGGAGGGTGTCTCAGAGGTGGTGTTTGACTGGGTTTTGAAGACTGGATGGAATTTGGCCTGGTGGAAAAGAGGTAGCTTTCAGGGACCCCGTCTGCCAATCTGGTAACCGTTGCATATTTTCTCTGCCAAAGATCCACACTGGAGCCAAGTGGTCAATATAATCTTTTAAACCCTCTGAAAGCTACCAAACAGTACTCTGACCCAAAGATCCAAGCATTGGCTTAGAAGCCAAGAAAAGAGTTTTTGCCTGGGAGCTGATCCAGAAACTCTACTGGGTGTTGCTGACTGCAGTTTATCATGGCTGTGCTTCTACACTGTGGAGTCATTGCACAGGAAGGAGGCGACGGCATTTCTCTTGTGCAGGCTCTGCCTTCCTCCTTTCTATTTGATGATAACTCCTGATGCCACTGAGAAAGATGGGGTCTGACCGACATGACTGTCCAGAAGATCAGAAAATCCCCCTACTTTTCCACTCCCACCATTCCTGGCTTATTTCTTTATGTTAAAATGGATATCCAATCCTCATTTAAAATTCAAACACCTGGTCCCTGGAAGGCAAAAGAACGTTGAAAGAGGGCAATGTAGCACCAATGGAGGAACCACCAATGGCCCCTGATATTTTCAAGTCTCTGAGCCCAACACATTTACTTTCCCTCCTGTCAGGCTACAGTTGAGAGAAATGGGAGGGTGAGTAGGGATGGGGTGGGGCCAGTGAGGGGAGAGAATGTGAGATATTAGAAGGCCGGGGAGAAGGGGTGTGTGTGTTTGTGTTTGTGCAGGGGGAGGACATGCTAGATTGCCTGCGAAACTCATCAAACTTCAGTTTCCTTCCAATTTTGTCTAGGGTTGGTCCTGTCTGGTGGTCTCATCTTGATTCACTAGTTTCGAGAGGCTCTTTTAATTCTTGGTGCAAATGGGCCTACCTGGGCACCATCGATGACCTCTGGAATCTGCCCTAAAGGCTCAGGCCAGTGGACACCAGAAAATAAAAACCTACCTTCCACCCAAATACACAAGTCATCCCTGGCTGCTTCTGGCCCAGATATTACAGTTCATCACAGTATTTTCTTCAAAAACAGCTTCGAAGTGTGTGAATGAGGACAGATTGAGAACCAACCACCGTAAGGGATAATCTTTAGTCATGTAATTTTCTTCTTTCTTGTGTTTTAGAAAGTAAAACTCACTATCGGCAGGATCCCAAATTCGGAGAAATTCCATGCTGCAGCTTGTACGTGCCCCTTAAAATAACAAGGTGTCGCACCTTCTCAACTGGATACGTCTGGAATGGAGAGGGTGCTAAAGAGGAGTCCAGCCATTAAAAAGGTCCCGCGGAAAAGCACTGGGGAGTGACATGCCACGGACCCACCGCAGCCAAGCGAGGATGGAGCCCTGGGCTTTATCTACCCTGTGATACGAGACAAGTCGTCGCTCTCGGAATTTCTGCATTTGCATCTTAACCGTGGGGATAAGTATCCCCTCTCTGGCTATTGCATCAGAAATGCTGAGAGGGTCCTGTGGGATAATGACTATGGAATGCAGTGAAAATGGAAAGCCTTATCATCTGAGACTTTGTCCCAAACACCACAGACACAGCTTGGGTCAGTCCCTCATGTAATACATGCTGCGTGTTCCATGAGGTCGTGGTCCACACAATCCCTTCTTTGTTAGGGAACGTACAGTTGGAAATACTCATTCCAGGAAGGCAAGGTTCCCAAGAGAGAAGTGATACCCGATCAGCTTTCCCAAACACTTCCTGCCTCTTATCACCCCCTCCAGAGTGCTGAGACAGAGTGGCCTCCTGGATTCAGTAAGTATCTTGTTTTCTTAAAGACCCAGAAGCTTTAGAAGTCAAGGCAGTTTTAGGTCACATGCAGCAAAGATCTGCCTGCTGTACAAGCAGTAAGACAACTACTTTGCACTTCAAAGTCAGAAAGTTCTTAACTAATGGATGCATTAACTGAGGATCCTGGGAAACCAAAAGAATCAAACCCTTTTTTATAAATAGGAAAACAAAGTCAGAGAGCTAAAGCACTAATCAAATCGAGCAATGTTAGAGCAAAAGGAGCCTTCAGAAACAATATCATACCATGTTGTCATTTCACGTGAAGAAATCAAGGCCTAGAATGATGAAAGACAAGCCTGCTTTGGGGCTCCAGGTTTCATAGTTGTTGAGTGGCAGAGCCAAGAATCCAAAACCGGCTCTGGGAAACCAGTGTCCTGATCCTCACCTTGTACTTGGACTTAGATTTGAAAAGACCTTAAGCACTTAGAAGACACATTCAAATACAATTCATTTTCTGTTACCCAGATTGTTAGGGAAGTATAAAAAACTTTCATTTACATGTCCTATTTGACCTACCATTTCTACTTCTAGAAATTTATCCTACAGAAATACTCACACAAATACACAAAGATACCTGTAAAAAAAGTTTACTGTACCATTGTTTGTAATAATAAAAAAATCATTTGGGGATTGCTTAATTATGATTTCATGTAATTGAACACTGCAGATGTTAAAAAGTTCAGCATATATAGTTATGGAAAAATGTTCATGATATATTAAGAATGAAAAAATCAAGTTATAGCACAGTATTATATCATCTCATTTTGTAAAAAATAGGTTTTTGTTGCTTGTGTGTGTATATATATATAAAATTTTTCCAACTCTAATTAGGGAGAGAGATACCTACCTTGTAGGGTTGTCATGAGGTTTAAATTTAAGCACATTGTGTGATATGTAGTGTTAGTTGTGCTACTGTTGCTCTGACATGCTTTTCTGAATTAAAGTTTAGAATATATCAAATTATTAAAAGAATTATCTCTGAGAAATATGATCAAGGTTGGCTATGGGGGGAGAGGCATTTCTATAACGTTTGATTTTTTTTTGCAATGAGCATATGTCACTTTTACAATAAAAAATACACAAGTGTGAAAAAACATTTACGTATGTATGTGTATTTTTTAAACTTTCATAAGTGAGAAACCAAGCCGCCACAGTGAAGGAAATAAAAAACCATCAAGGCAAAACTGCCTGGCAACCAGCAATGTGGATGGATATATTGCTCCTAACCCAAAGAGCCTTCTCCTGCTTTCCTCAGAAGGCTGCAGGCCAATGCCAAGGAGAGCTAAAAGGAGATGGTGGACGACCCTTGGTCTCCAGTTCCTTCCACGCGTCACTGAGGCAAAGAGGTGGAGGCCTAAGGAGTTGAATCATTTCTGTGGCTCCTGGAAGTGCTGGGACGAGAACACAGAACCCTGGCCTCCTGATGCCATGCTCTTCCCAGCCCACTGCAGTGAGAGCAGCCAGCCTATTCCTGATTCTCCCTTAATCCCAGAACTTTCCACCTGCAGCAGAATCAGCTGGGGTACTTATGCGGATTCTGCTCCTGGAGCTTCTCTCACAGGAGGCTTTGTTCCCAAAGAAACTCTCAGGGCAGATTCCAGGATCCCCTTTACCCAAAGATTCTGATTCAGTAGGTCCAGCACAGGGCCCTGGAATCTCAATTCTAACAACCCCACTCCTACCCCCACCCGGCCCAGAGGATTTGACGGCAGATTGACCAGGGAACACACATTGGGAAGCATCATCCCAGGGGTTCCACAGAGACCCCCTGAGTCCTCTGAGAGGCTGCAGAACATTGAGTATGCACAGGGACATTTTTAAGGGCCCATAGTTTTCACCAATTCTGAAAGACGCTAATGACTATCACCCCCTACCCTACCTCCAAAAAAGAGCCTGGTTCCCAAAGGGAGAAGCCTGGTTTTCACTCCTTGCTCTCTGCGACTAGGGGACCAGGATGACCAGTGCCTGCAAGAAGCAATGCCTTCCTGACAGGGTGCTGCCACACGCTGTTGGGCCATTGAGGCAAGAGAGGGATCCACAGCCTTGGCTTTAGGCAAAGTCACATCTGCCTGCTGTTCCTCCTTGCCCGGTTTCATTCCTCTGGGCCTCCCCTGTCCCAGAGCTGGAGGCCAGCCACACTTCCCCAGGATTCAACCTGGGATCTTTCTACAATGATGGCAGTGGCCCCAAGGAAAGCATATAACCAAACTGGCCCCAAAGTGCAGTAATCAAGGAATTTATCTCAGACTCCAGGTTTTGGGGTCCTCTTCTTTTACATGGCTAAGAGAGCTGTAAGACTAGAAAAAGACTTGTGGCTCATGTATGTATAATTTCCCCAGAGCTAACAGGGTGGAACACACCCTCCTCACACTCTGCCCACCACAGCCACATCCATACCCACCCTTGGTACATAATGCCATCCTGCATCTTTCCCCTCCCAGAGCTTCCCTCTGATGTGGAGCTGTCCCTGCCAGGGATGGCCCCCTATGGGCAGATTTCTGGAGGAAAGGGGGTAATCAGAATAGACTAGAACTATTCTCGGCAATCACATCCGTGGCCCGAATCTGGTGCAGCTCTTCAGTCTTGCTGGGGAAGGAACCAGAGCCCAGAAATGCAGAGAGACTCCCTGGGCTCCCCGGCTCCGGGCCATTCCTCCCGCTCCCAGGCCAACACGTTTTCCGCACTTGTGCAACTTCTCAGCACGGCCTTCGGAGTTACCAGCCTTCCTCCTCTTCCCAGTGGTTGCCTCTTGCATCTAGAATAGGCCACAGAGGGAGTCTGTATGTTTCCACTTTGTCCTTTTGGCTGAGGATGCGAACTATTCAGACTGAAATCTAAAAAGCAGCTGGTGAGATAGGGAATAGGTGCACAGGGCCAAATCCATCCAGCCTTACTTGAAGCTGTCAGCATGTCAGTGTGGATTCCAGGAAGGCATTCTTCTTTACAGAGAGTGAACCGCTGTACATTCACACACATGTACGTAAGTGTGTGTGCATAGGCACATGGGGATGGAGGAGACTCACAATAATTCTTTCAGTAAGCCGAGAAGCCGCAGCACCACGATGCCCCCACCCCCTTTCTCTTCAGAGTTTGTGCCAAGTGACTTTTCCTTGAGATGCTAAGAATTTAAAGTATCATAAACAGGCCCAAAGGGAGAGGGCTTTCAGATTCAGCTGGATTAACTCGAAGCTCTTTAGTGAAGCTGAACTTGTGGATATGCAAGAAAGATGTTTTATTGAAAAAGCTCTTTAAAATGTCTGAGTTAATGAAACCTTTGTCGAATGATCAAGGGTCTGGTAGGATTTTTAGGGCCATTCTCCATATCAACTCTGGCTAGATGTTTCTGGAAGACTAAGAGGGCTTAAGTGAAACTTGCAGTCACAGCACTGGACGCTGGAGCTGCACTTCCTGACACGACGGCCACTGACGCATGTGCAAATTCAACTTTAAGCTAATTAAAATTAAATACAATTTAGAATTCAGTTTCTCAGTTGCACTAGCCACATCTGAAATGCTCGAGAGCCCTATGCGGCAAGTGGCTGCAGCGCTGGATGGCACACATGTGAAATATTTCCACCGTCACAGCTGGTGCCGGTGGACAGAGCGACGCCAGTGCCAAGCCCCCAAGAGGGGAACGATTCACATTCGTCTTATTCACCACCACATTCCTAGCACACAGATACGGTGTATAGCTCATAATAAGTGCTCAACAAACACGTCGAAAGAAGAAATCACTAAATTTTGTGTTAAATACCATTTCATAAACATTATTCTATTTTGATACTCTGATTATACACACACACACACGCGCGCACACACACGCACACACACACATATATATATATATTTGGGGCAGGGAGATCTGGGGTCAGGTCTAATTAACTTGAAAACCAAGGTATAGGCCTTTTTAATGTAAACTGTTTTCTCAAGAATTAACAGGATTCTGTGGAGTAGTCAATAGACTTGGGAGCTGTGATGGGGACACAAAAGAAATACAAGCTCTAAAGCTCTCCAGCAAAGAGCTTACTACATGGTGAGGAAGGAAAAAAATGGGCATACCACGATCTTGTTTATTTGATGTCATTTGAGAAGGCACTATTCTGTAAGTTTAATTTTTAAATGATGTTAATCATAATCTTTCTAAAATTGGTTGACACTTTCTTGCATTCTTTTTTTTTTTTTTTGGTGGTTTTTTAACTTTATTTGATATGTCTGACAATCAGTGGTTAGTTCTCATCCACGTTGATTGTCTGTAGATTTTTGAAAGTGGTAACAGGTACATAGGTAACCAAAGTATAGAGCTTGTTTGGTGAATCTTCATCCTCATTACGTTTTCTGGACAACCGCACACGGATCCGGTATGGGACATTCCTTATTCCTTTGGCCCAGACAGCTTTGTTGAGCC